CATAGTCTTCAGAACCCTCATAAAATCCAAATTGTTACTTGGGATGACATTGAGTTTCACTATTATTTTAATGGTGAAACAATAAATTTGATTATAATTATTTCATAACAATGATTCAGACCTCGAAGGTGGGAGCCTTAAAAGCTTGCTGATTATGAACAAGCAATGCACGTTAATTCATGTTTTTTTGTAACGAAATCACAAAGCGTCTGGATCTCATAGATTTAAACATCTTAACCATAGGAAAATTCTCAGAATTGGGTCATTCCATGAATTGTGTAACTAGCTTATTTTTAAATATGCATCAAAATTAAAAATTGACCAAAAATTAAATCCCGTGAGTTTAAATTTTATGATTTTCTAAAATTTTGGCTATGAAACATGGTAAAGTGCACACAGATTAAATTTCATTCAATTAGGACTTAGGAAAATGTTTAAGATATATATCCATGCTCAATTCTTAACATTCTGAATGTAAACATAAAAATAGTTTTGAAATCCCAAACCCATGTGTTTTCAATATTGTATAACTAAAAAACTACATATCTATGACACAGATTGTGAGTATAGATTCTTCGAATACAAATGTAAATAAATTCGAAATTAGATCAATTATCATAATTCTAAGATTAAGATAAAATTTTCTAGATCCTTTCTAGACAGTAATTTTATTAAACTTCTAGTGCATGAATATTAAATCGAAATTTTGTTCAAAATAAATTTTAGGGTCTAAAAATCGATTTTGATATCATTGGCTTAGACAAGCTTTGAATCTCCTGGACTACAACATTCGTAATTCAAGATCTTGGGAAACTTACCTAGGAAACTTATTTTTTTGCGAGGAAAATTTTTCGAGAAAAGAAAGTAAATTAGAAAAATCTGGACAAAACTATAAAAAAAAATCGCTAACTAACATTCGGATTTATATATAAAAGCAAGATGTTATCAAGATTTTAATTCTAATCAAAAGGAATGAACTCGAAACTTGAATGATGATATCCCTGTTTGTAACTAGCAGGGTGGCAAGTGAACCAGGAAAACCGGGAAACAGTCGGGAATTTATTTTCACCAGGAAAATCCGGAAAAAAAACCAGGATTTTCATTAGTCCACCAGGAAAATAATCTTGTTTGTATAATTTTAATAGGTTTTAAATGTTATGTATGTAAAAGTTTTTTTTATAATCAGGTCAAAACTAACAATTTTGTTAAAGCTAAATCTTTCACACAACTAAACATTGATGAGCAAAATTTACCCTGAGAATTTAGTAAATATATTTTGTATTTATTTTTAATTTAATTTTTTTCTCGAATCAATTGCATGTACGCTTTGTGCTTAATTGATAGCAGACTTAAGCAGTGCCGACGCGTAACTACTTTGAAGTACATGTTCAACATGTTCAATTAAAAAGTTCTATTTCTAAAAACTTCAGACAAGACCTTCGAACTTCATGCGGTTCTACAAAATTCGGGAAGGTTTTACAACTTTGACTATATGTTTTAGTATTGCTTCTACGTGAAGTCAACGATTTACATAGTTGAAGATGCTAATTTCAAATAACAGACTGTAGTGGTAATTTTTATACGATAGATGGAGTAGATGAAAGCATAGAGTTGATAGTTCCGTTAGAGTACGGCAGTGTGAAGATTGCATTGTCGAAAGGTACAGTAGCAGCACCTACCCCACCCGTCCCAACTAACAATTTTAGCTGCAGATTAGCTTATACAGCCAAAAATTGGCTTATACAGCTAATTTTTGCCTGTATAAGCTAGTCTGCAACTAAAATTGTTTGTTGGGGTGTCCCCTCGAGATCGTCAAGTCGACGATGACAGGAGCACATATCGTGGTAGGGGTAAACAATAGTTGCAATTTCCAAACCTACGACTGGATGCCTTCCTTCAAATAACAACTGAAGTGCGGTAAAAAATCGGTAGAACTGTTTCAAACACACCGTTTCATCTCTTTTTGCCAGTGGTGGCGGGGGGACACCCCTCACCAACCGATTTGTACCTTCCTTAAAAAGTTGTCCTAGCTCGCTATTCTAATATCTATATACAATCTTCACCCTGCCGTACTCTAACGGAACTATCAACTCTATGCTTTCATCTACTCCATCTATCGTATAAAAATTACCACTACAGTCTGTTATTTGAAATTAGCATCTTCAACTAGGTTTTACAAGTTTCAGGAAAATCCGGTGAACTACTGTGATGACCTACGACGGTCAGGAAATCACTCCGAACCTTCAGAAAAGTTCTACAAATTTCAGAGAAGTCTAACGAACTTCAGGTTAGTTCTTTAATCTTTGGGGAATAACTACGAATTTTACAGATTTTTCTACAGATTTAATGTAACTTCTAGGACATTTAGGCATTGTTTAAAACTTAAGGATAATCCTATGACACTTATGGATTTTTTCCGAGCTTCAGAGAAGTCTTCAATACTCTTGGGCCTCTGAACTTAACATAGTTCTCCAAGCTCAAAGAAGTTCCTAGAACTTTCGAGATGTCAATTGAACTACAGGTAGTCCTACGAAATTCATGGGAGCTCTCCAAACTTCAGGTAATTTCCAAGAAATTAAGGGAAGACCCACAAACTTTTGGAAAACCTTTCGATATTTAAACCCTTATGAACTTCAGGGAGGCTCTTCTAAATTTAGAGTCCTCATATATTCAGTTAAGTTCTTCAAACTTCAGGGCAGTCCTCAGATCTTCGAGAAAGTTCTTCGAACTTGAAGGAAGTCTTATGAACTTTTGAGAATTTCTACGAGCTTCATGGTACCATAGAGGTAACTCTAAGACCAGAAGGTCCAGAAGAAACGAGCTCAACTTTTTGGCTCAGCTCTGGTACTATCTTCGGTCCCAAGCCGTAAACACCAATGTTGCCTGCTGAACAGTTAATTGAGCATAATTATAAGACATCAGTGACTTGAATCATTAATAACTTTTGTTCCTTACATTTGATCGAAAACTGGTCTTCAACAAAATTGTAGCTGAAAAAATTGCAACAAGTTTAGCTATCATTTTCTAAAGTAGAGTGAACTGGTGAATTTTGAGATAGATATGAACCGAATTAATGGTTTCTCCATAGTAATTCCCATATAAACTTCAAATGGTTTGTGCCAAGTCAGTTTCTAACTAAATGAGTTCAAATTTTGGGAGGCTAATCAGGGCCCAATTTGGAACCGTTTGAGCAGTCCTAAGATCTTAAAAAAAGTCCTTCGAACTTCGGGGAAGTCCCATGAAATTCAGGCAAGACAAACTTCATTGAGCCCTTCAGGAAAGACCTTAACGCTTCAGGGAAGTTCTATGAAGTTTAGGGACTTTCTATGAACTTCAACAGTCAATCTTTTTAATAATAAGAGTTCTTAAACCAGCGTTGTTTATGAAATATTTTAATCATATGATTTAGAAATCATGTGGTTATCAAAATTCCGCTAAATAAGATCCTTAATCGTTGACAATTTGTTGAAAATTTAAACAAACTGGAAATCCGTAAAATTGTTAAAAGCAAAGGTTTGTTTAAAGAGTCCTCATTCATATCACACTTCGCAATTTCACCTTGAGATAAAGTTAAAAAAAATCGCAGTTTTAAAAACAGAAATCTCAAGATTTAGGGGCGTATAGATCTCTAAATTTCAGGCAATAGATAGGGCTCCGCGCTAGTCCGTCGTATCTCAGCTTATCTTCATCATACACCCCTAAAATCGCTCATGTTACGGGTTATCGCAAATGTTTCACTGTCAATCGTAATTAATCTTGTAAGCAAAGATGTTTTTGAGTGAATGACGTGAGTGAAAACGCTTTGCTATTATAGTTTTAGCACATAGAACGGAAATAGGCGCCATGATACGACGAAGTAGCACGGCTCCCTACTAGCTTCTTTACAGCAAACAATCAGATAAAAATTTCACGGGCATTCACAAGAACCTTAATACCTATTTTGGTTTGTGTAATTCCGCATTGCGCAAAGAATGTTGGTACAAGGATTCACTTTATTTTTTTTTTTATTCAAAATTGTTTTCTTAAATACATGGTTTTTAAAACCAGGAAATTTTTAAATCATTGACCAGGAAAACCTGGAAAAACCAGGAATTTCAAAATGGAAATTCACTTGCCACCCTGAACTAGACGTCTTATTATATCTTCGATTAAATATCGATATAATATAATTTCTCAAAATTGTTTCTTCTATTCCATAACATAAGAATAGTAGTCAACATAAAGGACTTTAGTAAAATCTTTATGTGTGGTACAGTTTTATTAATCGCTGAGTCAGAAAAAAAATCATCAAAAATTTGGGGGGGGGGGGCAGATTATTCTTGAGGGGGCCTGGCCCCCTTGGCACCCCCATTGGCTAAGCCAATGCTGCTGTGTACGGTGCTGATCATGGATATGTTTTCCAGTTGTTGAAACTAATTCTTTCGTAAATGCGTACCTTGGACTCAATTAAAGAATTGATGACATAAGTTTATTTCCTTTTGAGAGGTTGTAAATCGATGAGTGAAAGTCTATTCTGAACGGTTGAAAAAGAATTAAAATTGGTCTAATTACCAACCTGCAAAACCCAGTATTACACCGCCCGTCTTCTTCTCCACTCACTTTTGACGTAGGACTACGTCTGTGATTTCTATATGGGGTACACTTTGTGAAAACCGAAAATGGAACATGTAACGAAATTATGAAAGATTTTGAACGTTAATAACTCAGCTGCCCCTGGACCAATTTCAATAATTTTATCATTAATCGATCGGAAATATTTTCACGCATCGATACAAAATCGAACAAGAAATATTGAAAAGGTGGTAAATGTCAAGTATTGTCCAAAAGCGTCCAATTCACTAACGAATCCACCAATTACGTACATGCATATGCTGCTTCCCCAACACAGTCATCAGAGCGTCGTAAGTAGACGAAACAAGTCGAAGTGGCATACGCCTCCGCCAAGCTTCTAATCCTGAAGCAACCGGGTCGAGCCTCTTCTGAGTGCCCATTTCTCGTAGCGCAGTTGAGGTATCCTTCGCTGCGCCTTTCCAACCACCGGGTCAAACCGTGTCCAGCAGTAGCCGGGCCGAAACTCTTCCAAGTGCCCATTCATCGTTTATCCTTCACTGTGTCCTTCCAACCCGTCGCAGCCTCCTAGTCAACCCGTGTCCAGCAGCAGCCGCATCGAGACTCTTCCGAGTGCCCATTCATCGTAGCAAGGTTGAGGTTTATCTCGCTGCGGCCTTCCAACCTGTCGCAGACACCAGTTCAACCCCTGTCCAGCAGCAGACGGGCTGAGACTCTTGCGAGTGCCCAATCAATGAACCGAAGAATAAGGGATTGTCCGATCCGATTTGCTGATCCAGCTGCCAACACGTCATCATCATCTTCCAAATGCTTTAAGCCTGTACTACCATCGGCCCTTTTCAGGGTCACCAAGATTTTCCAAAAGAGTTAAATTTCTGAACATGCGCCAACTAAAATTCATAGTCATAGCGAAGAGTATAAACAGATAAAACCCTGCTCAAATTCCTATTCATACACAAAACACAAGCTCCTGTTGTAGTTAACAAATAACATTTATTATACAGGACCACGTAGTCCTACGTCGCCATTGCGTACAACCCCATAGGGCTGTCCCTTGTAGTTTTTTCACCATAAAGCAACTAAAATTACTATTTGTTAAAATTCAGTCACTGACCTTTAAAAATCACAACTTGATTTGGAAACAAATTTGTGATAGAAAGATTCATTAAAAATCAATGGGTAAAGCCTGATATGAAGAGTTGCGAACAGACGGAAACGTCTGTTGACAGAATCACTAATATTTTGTTTTTTTTTTTTTAACTCCGTGATCTAGACATTCATGTCTGCTATCTTAAAAATTTATCCTGATTATTAACTTTAAAAAATTCTCCTCCTTGTGATCTCGAAATTTTCGTAGACTGATCACAGATTCACTAAGGTTTTGAAAAAAAAAACATCTGCTTCCGATAGCCTGTCAAGGAAAATGTACAAGCTCTAGACATTTTTCCAGACCAGCAATGTTTAGCCACATTTTTCTTGGAGTGTGAGCTTACATTTCAATTGTTGAAAATTTAGAAAGTTATGCCAGGCAGAAAATTTATCTGAATTTGTTTGTCATGATCATCTCAGTATTTTCAAAAAATTATCCAAAATTCCTTAAATATATTCCATTTTACAATTTTTCACAGGATCTAGATTTTAAGTTCCTAAAACTTGCAAAATTTTCTATGTCCGTGATTTGTCCATCTTGGAAAGCTTGCTTTGTTCCAGGATAATGACTCATTATTAATGAAATTCTTTTCTTAGACTGCGATCTAGAAAAGTTGTTCCATAGCTATGAAAATGTTTCTATACTTGGTGTTACAGAAGTTTCTATATCCTATATCTTTAAAATTGATTTTTTTTTTGTATTTAATTATTTGTGTAAGTCCGAGACTTTGAACATATCAAGCTGAACATTGCATTAGGTCCTAAGTAACATTGATCGATTGTCTTCGTCGACTTTCTCTTTCTCTCTTGTTGTGTTTGTCATATTAAAGGCTAGACAAAAGGTTCTTTAATCGATCTGTGTGCTGAAAATGCATGGAAACTGCTTACATTGCTGTGGGGATACAATTACAATTCTCTTCGTCGATTTTCTATTTCATTAATAACTTGAGCACATAACCATTTCTTGTTGTGTTCGGTGTGCTGAAAATACCTGGGAATGTCTTTACATGGCCGTGGAGATACAAAGAGAAAGTCGACGGAGATAATCTGTCTATGTTACTTAGGACCTAATGCAATGTTCAGCTTGAATTCTCGTTTTTATCACAAGGCTAACTCTTTCGACTGAAGTGTAATAAAGAATATCCGTCAAACAGTTCCGAAAACATTTTTTGATACAAAACAGTGTCAACATCTAGAGAAAATTCATAGTCCCCTGGGTATCAAGCTTGAATTAATCAACTCTTTATTCATCAGAACAACACTATCAGAATAAACCAGGGGAAGCTCATAAGTTTTGACAGGCGCACCGGTGCAACTATCGATAATTGAGGGATTCACAACTGACAAGAGAGTGAGAGCGGCTTTTGCGCTCTCTTTCTCCATTACTCTCTTTGTCTGCAATCAGATATCCAAGTGCACAGCGAGAAATGCACACTTTGGGCACCCATACATCACAAAATTTTTTCTAATTTAAACTCACACATTCAAACCGGTCTGCAAGTATGATAACGTCCAAAGCGTACCAGACTGCTGTTTCCGTGTTGCTCCTGTTTGACGCGTAGCTGCTGAAAGCTTCAATTACAACCAGTGGTGCAAACCTCCATGTATTGTGGAAAATTTGTGGTATGTTTCAAGAGGTGATAGCAGGTCTGCTTGGCTTACATGAGGCATTGAAAATTCACAAACTTGCCACCCCCACCCAAAAAAGCTCGCTTTTAGGTGCACTATTTAACGAGTTTTGTCATGGTAGTGTTATCGACATGCTTAGAAATCAATGCATTAGGGATTAGGCAGACCATCCAAACTGAATTTAACCCTTTTCGAAGCAAACCAAGGTCGAAGATTTAATTGAACCACACTATAAAATAGTGTATTCATGGTCACTTGTGGTCTGGAGTAAAGAAGTACAGCTATAAAATTTAAAATCTATAAAAATCTAAACGCATTTTTGAAAATTATTTATACCTGTGTCGTGCAAAGGTTGCACATGTGGACGCAACGCCATTGGTTAAAAGTTTGTTTTAAAGTCACTAATGGGTCACTATTTTCATTATTTTAGTCACTAAAGTCTCTACTTTTATATCGCATATCAACTACCAGCCCTGTCATGTTCAAAATATTGCTCGCCTATTTATTTTCATTACATCATTACAATCAGGGATCAGGGAGAAAAAGTCTTCAACAAGATTGAAGAAATATATTCAATTGTCTTCACCGATACTTGTTAAGTTCACTTGGTGTGTGGAGCGTGGGACTCAGAGATGGCAGGAAGAGGCGAATACGACCCCCTTGATTCCCTTTTTTTATATTTTTGGGATTTCGTTCTTGATTTATTACTAAGTGGCTACGTAAATCACTAAGAAGTAGGGTAGAGTGGGTTTGGCAAGCGTCTACGGTTCATTCTTTTCTTTTTTTCAATAATTTCAGGATGTCGACTACTTGAAAACCCTGCAAAATCAGAGAATTTCAGGGAATTCAATGTTGGACCTGCAAAATCAGGAAATCGCAGCAAATTTATTTAACATTTAGGGCAATATTTCCAGGGACCTCCCTTAGCTCAGTCAGTAAAGGCACAGCTATAAAGCAAGACCATGCTGGAGGTGGCTGGGTTCGATTCCCGGTCCGGTCTAGGAATTTTTCGGGTTGGAAAATTTCTCGACTTCCCTCAGCATAGAGTATGATTGTACTTGCCACACAATTATACTAATGCAAAAATGGAAGGGGTATCGAAAGCTCTCAATTTTTAACTGTGGAAGTGCATCTAGAACACGAAGTTTCGAGCACGCAATAAGCTAATATGCCATATATGCTTGAAATGCGAGGAAGAAGAAGAAGAAGGCAATATTTCCAAGGTGGCCACTCACCGGAAATTCCAGGAAATCCGAGGAAACCCCGGGAATGATGTGTTATCACCGAGAAAACCCCGGGCACCTCCGGAAAAAGATTGCTTCCATCTCAAAATCATAACCACTTTCCCCGTGAAACCGGTGATGGAGTGGTACGAAGCCAACGATGTTGTTTTTGTACCGAGGGAGGCAAATCTGCCAAACTCACAAGAACTTCATCAGAACAAGCTCCGCAAAACAGGGAAGGTCTTCAAAAACGACAATGATTTGAAGAAAGAGTGGATGAAAGTGTGTAAGAAAGATGACGCAAATGTTGCACAGGATTTGATGGGTAACGTTAAGTCCAAGGTGCGGGCATTTAGCCTAGGAGAGGAGGTTTAATAAACCAACTTTGCAAAAACATTGATTGTAATTATTTATTCCCTGAGAGTTTAAAAAATATCCGGCTTAACATGAATTTTTGGTGATCATTTTTGTCTGTTGCATTTTTTTCGAGTACAGTCTTTAGAATTGACAATAGCAACGTGCTTCGTTAATCGCTGAATCGAGTGACAAACGACAGGTGAGTATGACGTGACTAGTTGCTGAGTCGCTTTCAAGCATATTAACAGGTAGTTTCATAGAGCAAATCACTCCTTCCTAATCCTTGAAAGCTTCCTAGTCTTGAACTTAATTGTGATATTGGTATTTATTAGCCAAGATATAACTTACCATACTCTTCATTACCAATAGCAAATAAACCCATCCCGCCACAAATCACAACCTTTGGAATTCACAATCAAAGTTTTGGATTAATTTCCATAAGGAAATTCCAAACATATACGGGACAACCCACCTAATAACGGGAAATACCTGTTTAGTTAAGTTATTATTGCACCCCTTGCACGACACACACCACACCGAACCGCATAACACTACCCGAGGTGTGCCGCGCCTGCGACAATACAACACGCTTCATCCATCCGGCTTTCTAATCGGTGCCTCGCGGCGGCCCAGTAGCAGGGATATCTTTGTGCCCAACACCAAGAGCTCCCCCTTTACAAAACAAAAAACGATGTACCACCGTGGGTACAAGTTTTTCGGACAAGGGACGCGACGACGCGGTGTGCAACCCCAATTTTCTCTAATTGCTCGCTGGGCTGGAGAAAGAGGTATAACTTGGCACACATATGTGCCACGGGCAGCTGGGGTAGTTCGATATTGAATTCTTTCTATGAATCGAGTTCGCCGAGTTAACCTTTTCCTTTTCCCTTTTATCATTTTCAGACCCACCCCATCGATCGGAGAACCCACAGGTAAGCGCAAACACAAGTCACCACCGTCGTCGTCGTCGGCCTCGCGTGGTTGGTACCGGTTCCTACCTTCGGCACTAGCAGCAAATGTGTGTAGTTCTGATTGAAGATAAAGGTGCCTAATGTCCTCAACAGTGTCCACACACCAGAGAATGCACGCGGGGAAAACTCACCCATCCTGTCATCGTCGTCGTCGTCGCTTGAATCGTACGTTTGGTACGTGTGCACGCCATCCCCTATGAGTGGAAAATGCAATCTCGCGATAAAAGCAGGTGTCATGCGACCATCTGTTCCCGTGTGCAGTCTTGTGGCTTACGGCTTCCATTGTTGAACAAGGGGGGAAGGGGTTCGTATCTTTACCTTCACTCCGCTTACATGGTGGGATAATATGGCTAAATTACAGAGAACTGGACTACGTTGCTGG